TACTTTATAATTTACTATTCAAAATTTAGAACCAATTTAGATACAATAAGAGTAGCAAAGTAGATTTTGAGAGTTGATACTTTTGGTGTTAATTAAGGCTTGTAGCCATTTTCATCACCTTAAGGCTCGAGGAAATAAATTTAATATTTTATTATTTTAAATTCAATATATAAAATATATTTCTCAGAAATAAAGTACGATTTGGTACCTTTTTTATTTATTTTTATAAAATTAAAAATTCACTCTAACAATTCGGTGCGACTAGAAATTTAAACTTTGTTAAATAAAAATCTAATAAATGGTTCAGTACGATATGATTCGATCAAGTCAGTCGGTTTTTAAAGACCCACTACTTAGTTTCACTAACACGAAATTTAAGAATATAAAAAAGAATTTCAAAGTCTTATGATCTTAAATTAATTGTATATGTTATTCTAAGAATATTTATTCCGAAGATGTCTTGCTTTTATATTGGAGCATCATTGAAGGTAAGATGCAAATTTTAAAGTTAGAAAATTAATTTTATACTTGCGTCCTTTGAACAAGCTAAAAAGATAAGACAAGTAAAAAAATGTTTGTTGCACTCAAGAGTATAATATCGTGGCGGAGAACTATGAGGTCTCGGATTTAAATTTTAGTGTATACTTCTATTCAAATTTTGATGAACAAAATTACCTAATACTTATGACAGTGAGAGTCGAGAAATAGCAAATACTAATGAATTAGTCAAGGTGTCACATATACTGTCATTATAAAAAAAAAGTATTTTGGGCAAAAACTAGAGATATCTCGCACCCAAAGGTATAGAATAATGTTTCCATAGCAATTGGGTCATGAGGTCTTAGGGCATCTCCAATCTTTACCTCATTTTTGGTCCCCATAATGGATATTTTCCCATTTTGGGGACAATTTACTCCAACCATTTCCCCATTTTTTTCCCAAAAAAGAATATTTTTTTTATATTCTTCTCCTTCTTCTATATTATATTATTATCTTTCATTTCAATTTTATTTTTTAATTTCTATTAAATAAATTCCATCTTTTATTTTCATTAAAACAATTCCATAAAATTTTAAATAATATAATTTGTAAGCAATTATTATAGATTAACTAATAATTTAAATAAAAGTGTAATCATTGTGATACAAGATTAATTAAATACATAATACATAACGATAAAATCCATTCGAAATACTACATCAATATTCAACTTCAACCTCTAGTATTCTCCCATAAATGATCTATTAATGCATTACAAAGTGCAAAATGAGCTTCTTTGTCCTTAATTCTTCTACGTTGAGCTAAAAATTCTTGAAATCATTGATTTTATCTACTGTCATTTCTACTGTTGGAGGTGGACCTTCTAAATCATCTTGAATTGGTGCATTAAGATCACAACCACAATAAAGTTTTAATGATGGATGTGAATTCTATTGTCAATCCGACTCGTCGTGAATTTATGCGACAAGAACAACAACGAATAATGTATAAAAGAAGTCAACAATATCCACAGTCACAACCACAATAAAGTTTTAATGATGGATGTGAATTCTATTGTCAATCCGACTCGTCGTGAATTTATGCGACAAGAACAACAACGAATAATGTATAAAAGAAGTCAACAATATCCACAGTCACAACCACAATAATCCTCGCCCCCATTCACTCAATACTATAATGATTTTGGTGTATCTAGAAACGACATATCTCCTTACTAAGTTATTATGCTATTTACCGTAGTTTCAATTTTTATGATTTTTTTTTTTTGGTCAAATATCAAATTTTATTTAACCAGTAATGATATTTACAACACCTCTAACTCTTTTGGACTAAAGAGTTAGATTCAAAAAAAACATCAAAATAACTATATCAAAAGAACATTTACAGACTTAATAGCTCCTCTACTAGACTAGACTTCATAGAGGAAAGCTATTCACTCTTTTTAAGTACTTCTTCCATTTTTCCTTCTGTTGTCCTTTGATGTGTAATTGAAGGACAATGTCTCGTATCATCTTCTTCATATCAGTCTCCTTTCCCTGGAATCTACGCATGTTTCTTTCTATCCAAGTGTGGTATATTAGTGTTGCAAATAGAAATGCCAGAATACTACCATAGGCTCGATTGTTTTTTTGTTCTTGCACTCAGCCATTTGACTTCCTCTTCCCACAAACCAATCTGATGTTTCTCTCCTATCCAATTAAGCAGAAATGTCCCATATGCTCCTTGAGTATTGGCATTCAAAGTACAAGTGAGCCATAGTTTCATTTTTCCCATCTTACATATAACACATCCAAAGTCGACCTGTATGCCCCATGCGGCTAATCTATCCACAGTATTAAGTCTGTGATTTAGAGCTAGCCATAGTATAAAGTTGTGTCTAGGGATACTTGTACCCAATAGTAAGGCTTTCCACCCAACCTTTGGATACTGAGGTCTTGATAGAGTGTACATCTTCTGAATACTGAATTTTCCTCTTCTGCAAAACTTGTTTATATTTGCAAGGAATTCAATGTTTGTGTACCAGTCTCTAATATTAAATACCTTCCTTACCAGCCAACAATTTTTTTTGTATTTTAATTTAATGTATTTTCGATTTTCATATATTTCTAATTTTAACGTATTTTCATTTAATGTATTTTCAATTTTTACATTTCAATTTTAACAACATCTAATATTTTATATTCGCACCTTTCAATTTTAGCAACATCTAATATTCTATATTTAAACCATTTATTTTTTTGAGATGATTATATATTTTTTTACAATTATAACTTATAATAAAATTAATTTACAATTTTACATAAAAATAATAAATGCACGAAAATTATTTTATCATGATTACGCCAAAGTTAAAATGTAAAATTAATATTATAAAGATATTACATAAACATAATTAGGTATATATAAACAGATAAATGAAAAGAGTTAATAATAAAATAATAATAATAATATATACATGAATAGCCAGGGGAAGATGAATAGTGTACCCCATATTTGTGGAAACACTATTCATCCCCCATTTTGGGGGTAAAAATAGGGAAAGGTTGGAGCTTCATTACCCTAAAAATTGCCCCCATTATGAGAAAATGGGATAAGGTTGGAGACGGCCTTAGGTTGCGTGAGTTGAACAAGACATCATCGTAATTAAAAAAAAATCAAAAATCTCTCTCTCTCTCTATATATATATATAATTGAGGACCTTGAAAAGATGACATGACACAACATTCTATAACCAGGAAGGTAATTTATCTATTTTCTAAAAATTTTGCAATTTCCTTTATTATTCCATTTAGTTAGGAGTATTATTTAATAAAAAGTCCAATAGTTACAACTTTTCCTATATTTACGTATTATAACTTTCCAATTCAATGTAACATCGGTTGGTTGTTACCACCATTTAATATTCCACGTAACTATTTTATTCTGTTTTAATTCAAAATTTGCAGAGAAACTATTTGTTCTTCTCACTGATAGAGAGTCAACAAAGTCCTTTCTCTTCATTCTCATCTTAGTTTCATTTATGTGGTATGCTACAAAAAATCAGAAGTCACTTTTTAAATTTGGTTAATCACACCATTTTTCTACCGTAACCGTTTTCTAAGAGAAATGCTTCTACACATTTGAAGAGGCATTCTATTACACCTTTTTTTTTTTAAAGATTTTTTCTTTTAATTTTTGTTTTGGGGGGGGGGGTTGTAATTTCCCCTCCATTCTTCTCATTTTAGCTTTATTTTTATTTTTTCGCTCTTTGCAGAAGTTATTTTTTATTTATTTTATTTATATCTTTTTATTTTTCTAGACCGTTTGGCAGAAATACTTAATATTATTGGATTGGTGTTGCATTCGGTGAGTGAAGAGATAATAGACTTAACAGAGAAGAATATACACATTCATCTTAGCAACCTAAACGTGAGATAAGGAAAAATTGATTACACATATTACACGTTGTCTAGAGTTGACCGTTGGGAAGGTAAAAAAATTACCTTTTCTTTGTTTTAAGTTTTTTCCCTATTATCTTTTCTTCTTGATTTGTTTTTTTGCACAGAGAATTCATATATGAAATTCCATTTAACATATATTGAGGTGTGGTTGTTTGAAAGTTCAGTTTATTAAACATTAGGTTGGGATATTTTGCTATAGTTTTGTTTCTTCTTATATCTAAATCTGTATACTTTTATTTTTGTAAATGTGGATGGCAATTGATGTGTGATGATTTCTCTAATATTATTACACACCATTGGTAATTCACTATCGCGCATTCTCACTTTATAATCTTTCTACTAGAACTAATTTCTTCTTTATTATAATTAAATTGTTTGTCATTTTCCATCATTGATCATGCATTTTTACTCATCTTTTATATTTGATTTTGCATATGTTTGTTTAAATTGAAGGTAAATACACTTGATTTATAATTATTTTACATTTAATTACATATTAATGTGGCATAATTACCTTAAATGGCTAGAAACTAAATGATTAACCGTATACATTTCATATACTTTAATTCCTTAACCTCTAATAGTTGGAAAAACAATACCACTATCATCTTTTAATTAGGAGCGATAACTTCTTTGAACAATATTTATGGTAAGCTAGAATTAAAACGCTAGGAAAAAAATTATGGAATATGATTCCAACAATAGTGGGTTGGTTACATTTCTTTTTCTATTTTTCTACTATTTCTTTTGTTTTATTCTCTCTTTTATTACTCAATGTTCACATATATTAATTTAAATGGATTGTTTAATATTTAGTCTATATGTTTATTACAGAGTCTTTTGTTTTATATATTTTGCATTAGATATTACAAAAATTACAAAATTGATAGAATCATGAAAATTTTGTTTGTTTAGTATTGATTGATTTTCTTCTATAAAAATTATGACATTAATATTATATCATAATTTAATTTTTTTCATAGCCGCGCTAATACACTAGTTGAAAATAATAGGGGGGATATGGCTAAACTGCGCCGAAGGGTGACACGTCATTAAACGTAACCCAGGTTTTCGATTACCCTCTCACTACCCTTGCCCTATATTCACCCGCCTAAGCTTCTTCTTCCTGTCTTGCGAGCAGTCAGTCAATCACAGCAGCAGAAAATTAAGGTTTTCTTTGAGCGCTTCTTCTCTTTTTCTCCTTCCGATCAATCAGCCATGGGTGACAAAACTGAATTCGATTCTCCCCATAACCAGATCTCCAAAGGTAAAATTAAATTCTAATTTACTAATTTGCACTTCCTCAGCTTCAAATTAAACTTTCATAGATAGCATTCATTTTCATTTCTCCCTGTGTAACGCTATGAATGTGTCGAAAGATTGTACCTTTATGTGTGTTCTACTGTTTCCCAACTGTAGGTTTAGGGTTTTTCTTATATTGGTTGAGTTTCGGGAACAGAGAATGCAGTTTTTTGATTTTTTTGCTATAGAAAATATCACTCGATTATAAAGTGATGATTTTTATTTGTTTGATAATACGTAGATTCTGTCTCTGTGTTTGTTTTATTAGTTTATGACTATCAAGTTTGATAAATTTCCTTTTTTCCCTATACATTTGTTCCTACCATTACTTTTATCCTCAAAGAAATCGACTTTATGTTGGTAGCTGGTAATGCTGCTTAGCAATCGGCAGGCTGGTCTCATGTTTGAGTGTTTTTAATGATGATTCTTTGATGATGTTGTATGTTTTGGTTAGTTGCTTTGTAGTGTCCAGATGCATTACCTTTATGCTCCTGATACTTCTTTTAAATGCTCATTAGACTTGTTACGTGTCTCACCCGCTCCAGAGAAAGAAAGAAATGCGAGATTGGTTGTTGAGGTTCTTTTTTTTCTTTTTCGGTTGGTTGTTTAGGTTGACCTTTTGTTTATTTACACTCGTTAAACTAAATCAATCAATTACGCTTCAATACCGAATTCGTTGGGTAGTCAATATGAATTAGTTGTTTCAATTCAACTCTATTCAGGTCTAATTAATTTCTGTAGTAAAAATACTTTTTAGCTAAAAGTCCTCTAAATCTCACACATAACACGGATATATGAGTCTCTACTAGAATGAAAAGACTTTGGCAAACGCCTGATATAAAGCAAGAAGAACAAGGAAGCCTTAAACCCAACCAGCTAGATATCACGTATATGGGTTCGTTGCTTCAATTTCGTTTTGTTTTTAGTTATGTCCACATTGATTCCGTGAAATTGTAGGTCCTTGGTCAATTTCCTCTTTATGGTTTTTGGTCTGCCTCTTCCTCTTTTATCAACTTTAATCCTCATATTGCTGCATATAAGAACAATGCACGTGGAGATCTACATAGAACTTTGTCAAACCATGTGAGACTACTTTCTCTAGTCTTATTCTCTATGTGTGATACTTTCAACTTTTGTTGGACGTGATGACTCTAATCTTGTCCAATCTTGTGCTGCTATGTATCCATCTTAACATATAAATTTTTACAGTTACATATCTTGTGGATATATTGGGCCCTAGACACCCAATAGTCACTTCCAACATTCCTGCAACCGTTTGCAAACTAATGTTGTTGAAGGCTTGCTAAAGCACGCTTAGAACTTGAAACTAAATGAAACTTAAGATGTGTGCTTTGCATTTGCGTCGCTGTTGGCGCTTTAGTGTAGGCATCAAGGTGTTAAGTCATGCACTTCTTCACCAAAATAATCATTGTTTGTCTCTATAGTTATATTTCTTATATTACATTTCCATTTTCTGGCTTCTCTTTATTTATACTTTTCTTTGCGAAGCCCGTGCTTTAACTTGTGCTTTGTGCTTGAAGCCCCGATATACATTGGCTCGTTTCACTTTTGACTACTCTGCTTGCCTGTCACGACCATTTGTCTGCACCTGTTTATTGACTAATTTACATGGGTCAAATTTCAAATTTTTATTCTCTGAGGAAGCTTAATGCAGTATGTGAAAAACTAACCTCTTAATTATGACACGCATTGGCTATGCTTACAACCATGTTAGACATAGCTCATGTCTTCGTGTCTTTTGCTAGCTAAGTGATGATAGTGTGAATTGGAGATGAAAACTGGGGAATATCATTAGTGCAATGAGGGGAAATATAAAGATAACTTGTATGGTTAACAAGGATTGGGGGGGGGGGGGG